CACTCTCCAACTCTATCCTTGCTTCACTTCACCCTCTTCAATCTATGCTGATCAAGCTTTTACTTTTCTAATAAAATATTTCTATCACCTGAAAAAATACAGGACATAATATCAATAACACCTGTTTGCCATCATACGGTTATATCAAATCTTAATATAATATTTTTCTATACTTGCTACAGATTATTTATTTTATTTAAAGGGAAAATTACAGTTACTCTTGAAGTCACCTAGGTAATCATTTTCTATCACATGCAATCTCTTTCTTTCTTTCTAGAGGTTATGGCTATTGTCAATTTCTCTTTTTTCCCTAGACATACTTTTAAAAGTCCTATTCTTACCCAATTTATATGTCAATAAGCACATATAAAATTGTTTTGCGTTTTTATACTTCATTGAAATGGTATTTATTTATATTTGGCAACTCATTCATGTTTTTTTTAATTGTTTTTGAAATTCATTACTATTGATATTTGAGTTCCAGTTTATTAATTTTAATTATGAATATCATTCCACTATGGGGACATAACACAATATATCTATACATTCTCCTGTAATGAGCATTTGAGTTGTTTTTATGTTTTCAGTATTGCCAGCATTAGGGGAGTGGAAATTTTATTCATGCTTCCTTATGCATAGGTATTAGACTATTAACCTAGTTTTGGAATGACAGATGAAGGCATGCATATCTTCACATTTATTGGATTTGGCTAAACTGACTTCCAATGTAGAAAATCACCAAGAGTGTAAGACAGTTTCTTTTTTACCTACAATTTTGACAATGCTTGGTTTTATCAAACTTCTTTTTCCTAATTAAATGGCCTGCGTTGTTATTTAGGCATTATTTTTATATGTTTTTAAAGACCTAGCTTGGCCATCACCTCCTTCAGAAAGCCTTCCAAGACATCCAAAGACTACATTAGTTGCTCTAATGTGCTCCCATGTGGTTTAATTTAGTGCCGTGAATACTGCATTAGAAAAACCTGTTTACATGTCAATCTCGCCATCTTCACTCTTAGCTTCTTAAGGAAAAGTGTTGTGTATTTTTTTTTTCTCATCCTTTCTTCAGTGTCATGGTAAATATTTATTGAATTAATAGATTTCTGAGGCAGAAGTCCCAAAGGAACAAAATAGGAAATTAGTTTCTTGTAGGAAAGGATTTTCCTTTAGATATAAAGTAGTCACAATGCTAATGGCTACAGTACAGTGGATTCAATTACAAAATAATCCCCCAATGGGAAATCCTTTATCTAGGATACATGTCCATGCATATACCTATACTGAGAACTATATAGAAATGACTCGGCCAGGGAAAGTACCTATTGAATTTACCATTTTTCCAATATTATGAGCAATGTGACCTATTTATTTTTGTAAAACAAAAAGGAAATACATTGTAACAAGACAACATACTTAGTTTTCAAAGATAAAAGGTACATTTATTTTTCTCTTTATTGTTTTATTCAATTTCTTGAGGTGTACAGTGATCAAAATGCCTATCAAGAATATACTGACAAGAACACCTAGTACTGAGAGGCGGTACTTAAAGTACGGCCATCACTTAAACTAGCACTTGAGGTGTAAGCAAGTTGTGTGCTATTTCCTTGTGCATTAAAGGCCTAGAAAGTCTTAGAAATCTTACTAATTAGGATTGATTGCTGCATTTGCTATCATGTGCAGAATTTTCACTTTTACTACTATACATAGTTAGTTTACCCAAAATACTCCTTTAAAAATCATGTAGAAACAAGAGGATTTAAAAAAATCAAATAGGTCTGGCCAGTATGCCTCAGTTGTTGAGCTTTAACCTATGAACTAGGAGGTAACAGTTCAATTCCTAGTCAGGGCACATGCCTAGGTTGCAGGCTTGATCCCCAGTTGGCATGCAGTGGGAAATCAATCAATGACTTTATCTCATCATTGATCTCTCTCTCTCTCTCTTCTAATGAAATAAAGGAGACATGACATTATGAATAGAGTCAGCAATACTTCTATTTTAAGGTGAAAGCAAATCTATCTGTTTAGGATGTAATAACAGACTGTGATTTGAATCTGAACCTTAAGAGAATAATAATTGCACTGGCTTAGAAAGATGTTTCACCGTAATTATAATAAAAGGCTACCAGGCCAAAGTTAAATTGAAAATTGACCATACCTAAAATTCTAGCTAATCCTCAGATTGATATCATTTGATAAAAGGAGCAATGGTCTTGGAGAAAGAATTCACGGATTGATTTCCCCTTAAACTCTAACTAATGATGTGAGTTAAGACAAGTCCCTTCTCTCATGCCTTCATCTATGAAATTAATGGGCTTGAAGGCAGGAGCCTAGGACGAGTCTCTAGAGGACAAGTCTCTAGAATGTCTTTTGTAAAACAACCTTATAAGACACACAAAGTATCTTGAAAATGATCAGTTACTCTAAAATATTAGACTAAGCTTTTAACCAAGGAGCAACAGAATAACTAGCCCATGGATTCGCAGCAGATAGGTCCCTATGGAAAAAAACTGAAAATAAGATGGAGGTGAGGATTATGGAATGGTACTGTTTTGTTCTTATCATGTTGTTATTTAGTACAGAGTAAAAAGCTCTTTGGAAACAATTTCTTGTTAAGTCACAGTCCTTACAGAATTGAAATAAATATATGAGTAAATTGAAGTGCAGAGAGGTACAAGTCTTTCTAAGGAAAAAAACAAGAGTTCAAAACAAGGTTTTTTGACCTCTGGGTCTTTTCTTTATATGCTTCCTCATGAGTTTTCACTAATATACTATAGTTATTATTTAGTAATGCTTATTTTGGCAAAAAGAGGGGGCGAGATGGTTGATATGTTTTGATGTTGCTGTGTGTAATGATTGAAAAAACAGTTTTTACTGATCATATCAATATGAAGCATCAAATGCACTACCTTTTTTTCATCGTTTATAGAGAATCACGAGGCTGCTGCTAGTCAGTATCATTTTTCAACATTTATCCGACTAATAGTGACCTTTCTGCCACTCCGTTGTAACCTGTATCACAAATTGTAGATTCCTATTCCTCAAGAATCTGGCTAGGGATTCAAAGATTTATTACAATGGGATACATTATATAGAAATATAAATAGGCTTAGTGATGGTAGGACTTCATGGGGGAAAAAAATCCTAACCTACATAAATAATGAGCCAAGAACAGAAACTATTCACAGAGGAATTCTATAGCAGACTAAATAAAATACATAAATTATTTTTTCAATGTTAAAAAAAGAGTTATCCTTGTGAGTGCCTACATCCCAGGATGCTAACAAACCTCAACCTCCCAGGCCAAGTAAGATTTAGCAGGGATGAGTCTTGTCTAACTAGTGTATCACCAGTCAACCCATATGGATTGAGAAAGTGCCAAATTACTTTGAGAGCAGAGTCATGCCCAAAGATTAACTGAAATATCATTGGTAATCTAGGTTTTATGGAATTAAGTGTTGAATTCATTTACTATTCCAATAATCAGAACATGACATTAGGAAAGTTCACTGTAGTTGAAGGCATTGACCTGAATTTTTATGGAGATTAACTTTGGAAGAGATTTATGTATATATCCCAGCAAATGATTACCTGCACAAGTTTGATTGGATTCGTCTTCATTGCTCCCACAATCATTAGCTCCGTCACAAAGCCATCTCTTGGGGATACAGCGATTGTTCTTACATTTAAATTGATCATCAGGACAGCTATGATTGGCTGGGGCAGAGGGTGGAGGGAGAGGAGAAGAAAGTTTAATGACATGAAATTGGATAAAATTATGACTATTTTAAGCCATAATTATGGAAAAATTATAGTAATTGTAATATTAAAGTACAGTAAAGTAATAGCTTCTTTCATTCAGTGTCTCATATTTATCAAAATATTACTATTCAAGGCTCTTAAAATATAATAATTTAATAGAAGACATCAATTTATTACATCTCATATAAAGGTAAATATATTTTTCATGTCTTCACTCAAACCAACTATATCACTGCCTTTGGTTTTCCATCCTTTAACACAACAGTTAAGTAAATTTCAGATTTTTTTTTTTTACCAACCTCAAATTTTAATGTGAAGTATAGGAAATATGCATCAAATAATTTAATCATAGGTAAAAATACTTTTTTAAAACCACACATTAACTCAAGTAGTTCTTGAAATATTGAATAAGCCTATTTTTATCATGCTTTGCGCAACATCTGGAAGAAAAATGACAAAATTAAAACCATCAGTTGGGACCTAGAATTGGCTAAATATGAGGTCCTGCATGATTTTAATAACAAAATGGATCACTATGAGTTTCCATCCCTAGTACAAACAAGCATGCAACCACAGAATATACTGAGGACAAGACCAATCCTCAGAAGGGAAGCTGTAGAAAGCTGAGGATTTAGCATCCAATATCTAAGCACAACAGGGGCTATCTTAAAGTTAACCTAATGTGATTATTTTTCCTGCATTCAGGAGGCTAAATTCCTAACTGAATTGGCATGCTCTTTAGTATTTGTTTTAAAACTTCAACATCCTTTTTGAAGTAATTTTTAAAAAGCCTAGTAGTTGTACTCTGTATAATAAAAATAAATTTTGGCATTCCTTATACTTAGAATTTAAAAAATAGCTGTTTTACCATGCTGTTGCAAAGCAAATGTATGCCTTTCCAGCCAGTTTCTAAACACTTTTTCTTTAAAGTAGCTTTGGTGATAAAGTGATTTTATCACTTTTTAGAAAGTTTCTATTCATGTTTATTTTTTTAAAAGGTGGAACAGCTTTATGTTGTCTGGCATTTGATCATATTAACATTTTCTACTCACTGCAGGGACTTTAGCAAAATAAAATGAAAATAAAAATCATCCAATATATTAGAGGGTCAACATCTGAAAGTACTAAGATTATGCGTAAGCATTTCATTGAAGCTTCTTGATCAGTGACCTTTGCAATTTTCATCAGTGATGTAAACCAGAGTTCAAAATGAAGGGCAAATATAATCCATAGTTTTGTGAGTTCGAGTTGGGAATTCAAGGTCAAAGCTTATGAGTATTTAAAATCTAAAATAATTCTCTGAAATAAATTATGTATTTCTGGAATATTTACCATGGAACCCCAGAAATAAAATGCTGCTCAGAATCACTGAAATATTTCGAGATTACTCCATATTTCTGGAAGCTGGCCACAGATGTTTAGTTTGTTGTTGTTGCCCCATTTACTTAGTCACTTATTCAGCCATGTGCTAGATGCTTTGTTAGACTCAAAAAGATGCTACAATAAAATGTGTCTCCTCACGAAGAAATTCACCTATTAGATGCACCATAGAATTAAGCATACAGTTGCACTGAGCTGTGGAAACTACCATAGTAAAGGAATATATAAGAGATATTTAACTCTGAGCTATATTGAGAGGACATTATTTTGGTGTTCAAAAAGGACTTCTCTATGAAAGCAATAGAAAACGATGGTGAATTCCACTGTTAGAAACAGAGAGTGTAATGAATGTCACAGAGGAGAGAAAATAACCTTTTTTAGAGATCTACTTGTAGTTCAACTTGGTAAGGACAAAGAGGTTAAGTGGATTCATGAAAGACATTTACGGCTAAAAATGTAAAGACAGGATATAACATAAAGTGTCTTATATGTAAGTCAATGAATTTTAGAATTTAACTTGATTATGTACTGTTACTGAAATATCAAGACTAGATTTTGGTATTTATTTATTTATTTAATATATTTTATTGATTTTTTTTACAGAAAGAAAGGGAGATAGAGAATGAGAAACATGATGAGAGAGAAATATTGATCAGCTGCCTCCTGCATATCCACAATGAGTATGTGAAACAACCAAGGTACATGCCCTTGACTGGAATCAAATCTGGGACCCCTCAGTCTCCAGGCCGACACTCTACCCACTGAGACAAACCATTTTGGGCTAGATTTCAGTATTTAATTGTCACCCTGGAAGTAGAGTGGAAAGTGGGCTTTAGTTAAGGAGGGATTCTGGTAGGAATAATAGCAGGGCACTTACTGAATTAATTTAAGTGGTAGTCTAATTTAGTCAGTGAAGTTGAGAGGAGGTAAAGATAATATTAATTATTTAGGGGGTAAAAGAGAGAGGATTCTTTGATAGAATTTAATATGGACCATGAGTGAATTAAGACTCCAGGAAAAGCCCATGATGTATGCTTGGGTGATGAGGTCGTACATGATGAAAATGAGAGAAAAATACTGACAAGAAATTTTAATGCTACAATTAATGGTACAAATATATTCAAAAGGAATAGTGTTTCTTTGTGAGTTGGTGAAAAGAACAATCTCATAAATTAAAGCATGGAACTAAAAGCTAACGCATGAATATTGTGATGAAATATTTGTACTCTGAACAGACACTGACTACTTAGGGAGCTGTTATATAAGGAGTATTCATTAAAACCATGAGTAAACACAGTGATTTAGAAGAAATGAGGCAGTTAATTTAATCAATAATACATCATTTGTGTAAAATAAGTAGGAAAAAAACACACCTTGTACTCTTACATAAAAAAAATGCTTCTTTCACTCCAAAAATTTGGCTAATTGTATCAATTATTATTAATTTTTTATTTGTAGTTTCACACTTTCTGGTATAAATGTTAATGAGTTTGAAAATAAGAAATGCATAATGTTGCAGTCAAACCCATGTTTGGAAATTAAAAGTAAGTAGTGCTACCTGTGTTAATGACAGTTTATGTGTTATGCATTTATGCACAATTTGAAAATATCTTTTAAAGCCCATATTCTTGGGGTTTGTACCAAAGCACAGATAGTTTCATGATATAAATGCTCAGACCAACTTTATTCTATCATAACTACAAATTTTAAAACTTTATTTTTATATTCTTGATTACAAAGAAAAATAAAAATGGAGATTTGACAATTAACTCACAATTAGGTCAGCCACTTTAACCTGAAAATGTCTTTAACTTAAATGTCTTTAATTAAAATTAGGAAACAAACATAATTTTAAAAAATGTATCTAAGTCAAATCAAGAGAGCAAAGATGCATATGTCCAGCACATACCTCTCTTTCTCTTCATATAAAAATATTTTATATCTCTCAAAACCACTCAGGTAGTGACTGTAATCAAATACTAGTATATTCTCAAAACATTATTTAATGTGTTTCTCAAAGAGTTTTCCTATTATGTATGTGGACATTTCATTATCCCTACAAAAACATGAAACTATTTCTATAGCAGCAAATGATCGATAACTAAAAATAAGCCAAACAGGAGAAAAATCCAATCTTTCATTTCCATCTGAGTGGCCCACATGTGTCTCCTACCATGTACCGAGGCGGCCAAGTTAGGGAAGAACATTCCGCAAACCCGTGTCTGTCTCCTTGGGTCTCCTCCAAGGCTTAGTAGCCAAGGAGCAGTGGAATGGCTCCTGACCCTCTGGACCAGCAATTCTTTCCTGAGGGAGTTTAAATTGATTTTCCACATCTTTAAATGCAGAGATCCGAAGGGGTCTCTTACAGCCACATCCTGATAGTGGTGTGGTGGTGCCGCAGTGCAAATGGGAAAGGAGAGGACTTCTGGGGCAATGGAAATGATAATGTTAAAGATGGGGCAGCATGAGAAAACCAGCACCTTAAAACTACGCAAAGGATGACTGAGAAAAAACAAACAGTTCAATTATTATCAAATACATTTTTAGATTTTCACAAACTATTTTCATAGTTCACACACTTAAAGGGTCAGGGAGAGTTAACATTACTTAAGTGAGGACATACAGCAATTCTCTGCATCTTCATCACTTCCGTCCAGGCAGTCATCATCACCATCACATTTCCACCGAGCTTGGATGCAGTGCCTGTTCTTGCAACGAAATTCTCCAGCTTTACATACGTGAGGTAATACTTCTCCCGGATTAACTAGGTTACAAAAAATCCAAGGTGTGTGAACAATATTGGCTCTACTGATTCATTAAAGTGTTATAATAACTAAATACTGATTCATTTTATTGTATGGAAAATATAAAAACATGCTAGCATTGTAGTGACACCAATCTCTGGAAATGAGAAGAATTTAAGTTTTTCTGACAATAATTATCCTACTAAAATGTTTAAAGATTACCAAAATAACAACAACAACAATAATAAACCACATTATATTTGGTTGGGTTTTTATGTTGAGTTTTTAGTTTTACTTTTTAGAGGGCTTTCATTCATAAACTCCGTTGATCACTATGACAACCTATACAGTAGGCCCAGCAAATCATTTTACCATCTCCCTCTTATAGATCAGTATGCCCACAATTAATGAAAGTGCAATGACAGGCAAGAGCACACAGCATTGATAACTGCATTTATTTTGTTGGTCTCTAGGTGGGAGAAAAACTCAGGCCTGCTTAAGTATTAAAGAAAGTGTTAAGTTAATCAAAACAATCTCGTTATGTATCAGAATTCTATGCAGCGCCTTTCTCCATATATTCCTTGTCCTTTAATCAAATGTTAGGAATTCAGTTAATTGGGGTTTATTCACGGACTGAAAGTGTTAGTATTCTTCTGTTCTCTTTGAGTGGATTCAGCGGAGTCTCAGAAGAGAAGGGAACATGTGGCGATAGTAACAGTAAATGATTTGTGTTTCACAGACTGAAACAGCGTTGAGTTACTAAAAGCTGGTTTATTCATAGGAAAAGTACAGCTGATCTTTCTTTTCCAGTTCTAATGGCTTTCAACTTTACTTTGGATAACGGGTTTGAACTGATGAACTGTCACAAAACCTATAAACAAGAGATATGGAGAAAAAACAAGAGAACAAGAGATACGGAGAGAAAAACATGTGGCGTTTCCAGAACACTTGGTGTTAGCACTGTCTTAATCTTTGTGTTTTCCCTGCTGCAAAGCATGGGAGAGGGACTGCGACCTGGAGGGTAGCTGCAGAACCTGCTTCAGAGACATGCAGCAAAGCACACACTTGTGCGTTCGTGGGGCCAGAAAACAAAAAAAAAAGCTGCCTAATAAATTCATATGCTTAAAGTCTTAAGGGTAAAAAAATAGTATGGTAAATGAAATATTCAGTTAGAACAAAGGTAATGCTGTGTTTCTTCTGTCCTTCCTTCGCAGACAGCAGATACCATATGTGGGAACTGACAGTAATTTTTCTTCCCTGTTTAACTCTAATCTTTTTCAATAACAAAATGCTGTAGCAACAAGTTCTCTAGTGATGTCATTTCTGTGGGGTCTCTTTAAATAACAAATTTTGTGGTGTGTGTGTGTGTGTGTGTGTGTGTGTGTGTGTGTGTGTGTGTTATGTCCAAATAGGAAAGGACAACAATATAAAAAAAAAAAGGAAAGACCCC